TAAAGATCATTATATCCTGGGAGGCAGACGCTCGATTTCCATAAGTATTGTGTGTGGGGGCGAAATCTGTCTTAAGGACATCAAACACTAGCTTTGATCTATCTAAAGTTCAATAACAATTTCTATTCTGCAATCGGGTTAGTATTTATTTTAGTTTGACAAACAATTATGTGTAACTGTTTGCTGTTACTGTTTCATAATATTGCTGTAACTCTTTCGTTTCTGTGTAACTCTTTTCTGTAACTATTTTTTTATACTTTACATGATTCAAATCAAAATTTTAATAAGTGATTTTACAATATTTGACACTCCATATTCAACAGAAAGGCTTGACTCAATTAAGAACCCTAATCACTAATAATACAAGAGTGAACAACAATTTGGGGCTAGGCTATATTACAATTTTTTTTATAACATCAAGTATGCAATTTGAAAATCAAAAATATTTTAAGGTACAAACCGATAATCCAAACATCTTTCAAGCTCGAAAGTAAAATTAACCTATTACTCTATGTACCACTTTTTTCTTTCTCGTGGTTAATATATAACTGCATTATTTCTGTAATTTTCAACACAAGTTTTACCATTATAAATTCTGTCCAAATTAATAAAATTTGTGGTGCAACGCTCAAAGAGAGAGAGAGAGTTGATATGCAAAAGAACAACACTGAGAAATGTTGAAAGTTGTTGGTGCATTGCAGAGGATGATGATGAATTTTCTTCAATATCTTCCACAAGCAATGTTGTTGCTTGCCTATTGAATCAAAAATCGATGTTGGTTCTTCAATCACCTAATTGATTCTCTAATTCACACATAAAAGAGACCAAAAAAATAATAATAGAACAATACTAAAATCAAATCGTACCATCATAGATAAGTGCCTAAACTCAAAATAGTACATAGTGCGCATAATGAGAATTCAATGAAAATTGGACGAGGTTTCTTGAAAAAAAATGACGTCGGTGGAAAAATTGATTTTTGAAATATAGTTGAAACTAAATGGTAATGTTGATTTTATTGAATTGGGAAGTTTTCGGTGAAGAAAAAAAAATAATTTTTACTTGATTTTCAATTGCTTTTAATTAAAAAAAATTGATATTAAACACGATTGATTATAAAGGATTGGGGGCCAATTCATGATTGTGAAGCTTTAGATGTGTTGTGTTGATGATGCACATTCAAACCCTTGAAGGAACTTCATTTTTTAGAGAGAGATTTTGCATTAGTGCAATTTAGAAGATAAGGGTAACAACATATTTTCAACTTTAGCCCAAAAGGTGTTGGTCGTTCTTTTTAGTCCAAAATTACATGGAGATGTGATTATGACGTGAAATGGGTGGTTCGTCAGTTATAAATCATTACATGGCATATTACAGATAGTAGAGGTATTTATGATATTTCATGGATTGAAATCGAGTGACGAGCATCCCTAGACCTAGTGGATTTGACCCATAAGATAACGAGTAGGTACATTATTGATCCTGAATATTAATTGTCATTGAGAATTATATCTCGTGCAAAGTTTTGATGTGACGAGCAACTATTACCATCGCATCAACACTAAACCTAAATTAAACTATCGAAAAGATAGAAGCATGACTTTTATTGGTGTAGAATGGATCTCGGGGGCAACAAATTGAATGCTTGTCACGTAATCATAAATACTCAGCGATAGACTATGAGTATTTGGTGTAGAATACTTGATGTTCGGGGTGACCTAGCGTTTAAGGAACGAGACATCATAAATGCCCGACACCCCTAAGCATTAAAGTTCGATTGCATCCCATCACTAGACATTTATGAGGTATGACAAGAAACACTTATTGTGCGCCTCGATGACCGTAGACTGTCAGACTCAGATTGTGAGTGTACTCAAGTACCCCATCACATTGGAAGGTATAAATACCCCAATGAAACATAACACAAATATGCATGTTAAATTAATTTTGCACTGTACGCTTATTCTCTGAGTGTTAAACACCAACTGACTTAAGTGTTGGAGGAGATAATAGAATACATTCCCAACCCATTTCTTGACTTTGTTCCTTATTTCAGGAATCTCACCTAATCTAATTTTGGGATAAGCTATCTCAAATTATTACAGAAAATCACACATACAGATTATATTTGAACCACAAGGAAGATGAAGTGCAATAAACTAAATAACATGTGTTTTGCTTACAGTGATTATGATAATGCCAATAGTAATGTGAATGCATGTGTACGCCGTCCATTAGATTACCGTTTTCACTCGATTTCATTGGTTTTTATTAATAGCGGATCAAACGTGTATCTTGTGAATATTAAAGTTTGGATTATGGGGAAAAGAGATGCTTTCTTGATTTATGAGGCAATGAACTAAGACCACAAGAACCGTCCTTGCCTCCTTGGAACTATCAACCATTGGTCTATTGGTGATTTTTTATCCTTTTATCGCATTATTAACGTGCTTTGATGGCATCTTTGTTTTTCAACTTTGTGAATTGCAATTTTTTGAAATTTTAGACACGATTTATAAATTTAATATAAAACTGACATAAAGTTAGTGAATGGAGTGGTTCATGTCTTCACATAGTTAGGTGATAAATGGAGCGGACCCGTTAGACCCTTAAAGAAACAAGAACTCAATTACAAATGACATGAACCTATCATATATGATTTATATACGACACGAGTCTAATTATATATAGATTCGAAAGAATCATAACATGACATGAACCTCTAATTTATGTTGAGCCCACCCCACTTATACTACTTAATGTGGCACAGTCACAATTATTGAATATTTGATAAATTTTGTGGGATCTACTAATTTAATGGTGTATGTATGGGGTAGTGCAGAAAGGTAGTCTGTGTAGTATTGTTGATATCTTTGGCTTTAGGTGATAAAACCAAATTATAAAGAAAAATAAAATTATGGGATTCAACTATAGTAATACATAAAAGTTATTTTTGAGGATCATGCATTCTTTTATAAAGCAGTAAAAATGTGACATGTGTAATATTTTTTTTTATTTTATTATTTTCATGATTAATAATTGTAAAGAAAATCAATTGAAAATCTATGACTATAAATTATTTTTTAGTAGGATACTAAAAAATTTTACTTGGTATCACAACATTATCCAAATTATAGAAAATGAATGGGGATTATTAGTCTATTACTGCCCAACTTTTTTGGCTAAATTTGGCTTCCCAAATAAGCTGACACCATTACCGCCAACAAAATAAGGAGGTCAAAAGAATATTGAATGGTTAAAATTTAACATCATTTTTATTTCGAGATGTTTAAGTTTTTGTCAATTATTCTTTCGAATTCAGTGACAATTATTGTGACTTGAGCTGAGTTAGAATATGTTTTTGAGGAATAAGGGTAATTGACCCTTATGCTCTGTTTGATACGATGAAAAAGTGGGAGAATGAAAAGTTGGAAAGATGAAAAGTTGAAGGGATAAATAAAACATCATGTTTGGTAAGAAAGAAAAGTAGAGAGGATGGAAAAGTAGATGGATTAACTTTCCTTTCAACTCACCAAAATTAATCCCTCCAAAATCGGAAGGAAAATGGATGGAAAGTTAATTATTTGTGTTGAGATGTATTTTATTTGTCTATATATCTTATGTATACATTAATTTCATATAAAAATACAATGGTAAAATATGTATATATATTTTTAAAAAATTAAAATTTAAAAAAATATATATATTTTTTCCATTTTAACTAAGGGTAAAAATTTTCGACTCAACACGATGATACGACTTGAACTCGATACGAAAATAAACAGGTCAACTCGCAACTCGACACGACACAATTAGTTAAATGAGTTAAGTTAAGTTTAACTAATATTTGACACAAATTCGTAATGAATTAATACCAATCTGATACGACACGACTCAATTGTCACCCCTAATCTTATCCAGCACAAAAAAAAAATAAAAAAATTGTCATTTTTATTTTTTATCCATTCAATCAAATACAAAGGAAGGAAAGTGTATTCTTCTTACTTTCCATCCTTGAAAGATAGAAAGTGTATCCCTCATACTTTCCATCCTTCCTACTTTCCATTCTTCCTATCAAACGGAGTATTAGAGGGTGTGACAAAGTATTGAATCTGAAACCTTTGAATTATCAAAAGACAAACTCAACCACCGAATATTATTTAAGAAGTAGACTTTCGAACGAAAATTTGGAAAACATATCGGTATTGTCCGATTATATGACTCATCCCTGAATATAGCGAAGAGTAGTATTATATGAATCTAAAAATTTGACCTAGTAATATAGTTTCATTGTAACTATTAGATTAATATAAAGTTATAATATTTAATGAAATCTACAGTCAATCAAATGTTATAATGAATTAGGTTAATAAATTAAATCAATAAATTAGGTCAAAACATCATTGCTATATGGCGAAAAGGTTTAACCCTCTTATGGAGTAAATATTGGGTGTATCGGTTATACTATCACTATTGTCACGTGATGTCACTATCCAATAACAAATTTACAAGTGGACAAAATGAACCTTCCTTCTTTAGACATGGTGGTTAGTTTCCTACATAGACATGGTAGTTACTAAATCAAATAAGATCTATTTGCTTATATGTTGATTTATTATTAGTTAATGACACTCCTTGACAATGGTAATATAATGTTAATGTTATATTTAATATTTTCGCCCATGGATGGGACATGAAATAACCCAACCCAATTAGTGCAAATACTTGCAAAAGTAAACCTCCTGGCCCATTTCAAGCCCACATAAGTCCAATCCAATTTTATCGTTCCCATAAGGCTACCTTATTGGCTGATGGGCTTGGGACTTCAAATCCACAAATGAAACGTGGCTAACTGTGAATGGTCACACACTCTCTTTTGCCTTCGTCTGTGTAATTCCTCTGTGTATTCACTGTAATCCAGACATCAAAAACCTAAAAGTGAAGTTCATTTTCTCTCTCATTGGCCGTCTCTAGCAGCTGAGGAAGCTTCCTTTTCAGCCATGGCGGAAGTGGATGGTGGGAAAACCCTCAGCCTCTCTGAGGTATTTACTACACATCTTTGTATTCATTTTCTTGTTCCGAAATGATTGAATTCCACGAGTAGGAGCATAGTATGTGCTGGATCTGTTGCTTTGTTGTTTTGTCTTGCTTTAGTGATTTTCATTGGATAATTACGACTTGATTCGGTGAAATTTGATTCAATCGAGCTTCGATTTTAAGTGCTTTCACTCTGTCTTGATTTGGATGGATCGGGTTTGATGGAGGGAATTTCACCTGTGAAATGTGGTATTTTGAGGGACTGATGTGTGTGTTCCTGATATGAGCACTACGTTGATTGATCGCATTTCATGTAATGTGTTTTGAAGAGAGAGATTGTTTTGATTGTTGATTCTAGTGCTTTAAGAAGGGCAGCATTTAGAAAATTGCATAGCAATTGTGTTGATAATATTATTTCCTTCTTGGTATAGGATTTTTTTAACTAGCTTAGTTACTAGTGCCTAGAAATATAATACGAGGATACTTGAGAGAAAATGAGCGATGGATAGGTATATTGATGTGATAAATGACATGTATCACAGAGATATGACTATAATTAGGTCTTCCGTGGAAGAAAGTAAATTATTTTCAATCACGATGGGATTATCCTAAGGATCGGCCCTAATTATAGATGAATTCACTAGGTACATTGAAGATGATGTCTCACAGTGTATGCTATTTGCAAATGATATTATATTAATAGATGAAATTCGAAAAATTTAGAGAGAGATACTCGAGTCGAAAGGATTTAAAATAAGTAGGAGTAAGACTAAATATATGCAATGTAATTGTAGTAATAGAGGATGTAGACCTAGTAAAAAAGTTAAGATTGAAAATCAAGAAATATCAACGAGTAAATAATTTAGATATTTATGATCAATCACTAAAAATGATGGAGATATTGTAGATGATGTAACTCATAGAATCAACACTGGTTAATTTAAGTGGAAGAAAATCTCTGACATATTATGTGACAGAATGATACTAATAAATTGAAAGGTAAGTTTTACCAAATAGTTATAAGAGCAGTAATGTTATATGAGACAGAATGTTGGACAATTAGGAAATAACGTAGTGATAAAATGAGTGTAGCAGAAATGAGAATGTTAAGGTGGATGACCATATTAGAAAAATAGTAGTAGTTGCTCCAATTAAGGATAAATTAAAAGAAAATCAATTAAAATAGTTTGGTCATGTTTAACGGAGACTGATAGAAGCACCAGTTTGAAAAAGTGAGAGAATTTCTCTTAATGGTACTAGAAGTAAGGGTAGATCGAAATTAACATTGAACAAAATAATAAGAAAAGATATAAAAATATTTAACTTAAATAAGCGTATAACGCATAATTGAAATAAATAGTGAAGACGGACTCATATAGCTAACCCCAAATGATTGGGACATAAGATTTGGTTTAGTTAGTTAGTAGAATTTGTTGGTGACTGTACCTAACCTGGGTTAAAAACTCCTCTTAAACTTGAGGAACACCTACTTCTCTTTGTCTATTTGAAAGATATAGGATATGTGTAAAAGCATATGGGTAGACATCTTTAATGTCTTGAGACTGGCTTCAATGTTGTGTAAATTAAATGCTTTGAGCTTAATCTTAGTGTTTATGGCATTCAACGTGAGGCACGCAAAAGAGGCAGTCTAATCTTGGGGACGATATTCCGATGCTTGATTTCATTTTTTTCTACAATTGGATATTGCAATCAGAATGTTTTCTTTCGAATATCTTGTTCCACATTGCAATTGCTAATTTGATGGTTTCTTGGCCTAACTTTACCTGTGGTGCCTATAGATCCTATACTGTCTCGGGTCGTTTGGTTGCAGTATTAAAGGATGGATTATAGAGTCATAATAGATTGAGTCTCTTTAATCCAACCTTATACTGCATTTAGTTGCAAAAAACACTCTACATTATGTATAGTTTTATTTCAAATGCTTATCCAAATAATATATTCTATCTGTCGATTATAATACTACTACCCGGGAAGGTAGTATTATAGTCCAATTGAAGCGTATTAAATTATAAATTTATTATTTTTTTCTATAGATAAACAAAAACATTAATAACTAAACAATATTAATGATTTTTTAGTCAATATGTAATTGTTACTCTATTATCTCACTCTTAATCTAGTGTCTTACTAAATACTGGATTACAATGCGTAATATTTTCATCTCATAATTAATTTTTGTATTTTATCCGCTTATACGGAATTAGCCAGTATTACCTAATACAATCCATTCTTTTACAAAACGGCAACCAAACGAACCCTCAGTGTATTTCTTCTTTGCTTATATATATACTCGCTAGATTTATTGTGTGGTCATATCTAGTAGAATCTAAATTATAACAGGAAAAATGATCAAGCAGAATTTTCTTATGTTGTAAATGGACAAAAATATAAATGTTTTGGTACTGTTTCTTGCTTCTTAAATTAGTTTATTTTCTTTGACAATTCTTCATGACTGCCAATTTCATTACTTCTTTGAGATAAAGATTCAATTGCAATTTCATTTTGTACAACAACATTTGGAGAACATATGATTAGAATAACTTTTAAAGGCATTGTTGTCTTCCTAGTTTGGAATAATCGTCATTGAGTTTCTGCTACTATCAGCTCTGAATGGGAGTCCATTTGTTTAGATTTGGGTATATTCGGTAGAGCATAGAAATCAAGCCAGGATTGTGGCCTATGCTGTTTCTAATGGTTGCATTGCCTGGCTAGACCTCTGCAATGTACATGTCCAGAGTTGGTGAATACTTTTTATTTGGATATAGCACAAAATGGAATAGGGACAGGATCTGTTTGGGACTCGTATTCTTTTCCACAATCTATAGGCATGGTCCAGAAATGGAGGAGAATAGAACAGTCTAATTTAGTTTGAGTTCCAAAGGATGCCTTAGTTTCATCCCCTTGGGGTTGCTTTTGTAGATGAAAAATCTTGGACAGTATGCATCTAACTTATTTTAGGGCATGTGCCAGTATGATATGGGTCGTAACAACCTTTGCTGAGATTTTCATTTTCTGAAACACTTTCGCTATTTGTTTAAGTAAGAACATGATTCACAAGAGTGCTGGTTTTCTATCAGACGTTAATTGCAATGTGCTAATAATGATTTCTGTGGAGTCACTGATGGTGCAAGAGTATGGGGACGTTGTAGGTTGTACATTGTAGCATGTCATCCGTTATATTCTCCTGCCTGATATTAGCTTGGGTTGCTTATAGCAAAATTTTCTTGTCCATTGGACAAACAGCAATATTTATTGAAGGAGAAGGAAGAAAAGTTTGATGTGGGTCCAAAACCCGTGGAAGAGGTTAAGAATCCTGTAGATGCTGCCTCCGAGGAAGTTATCGCTCAGGCTGCCCCTGTTGCTGTTGCAAGTAGTGAAGTTTCCCAAACTGCTGCTGAGGAAGGCAGCGGAGCCTCTGATGTTGCTACTGGAGAGAGCACTGAAGCTACTCCTAATGCTGGTGAAAGTCCCAGTGAAGCCTATCCAGATGCTGAAGAAAACAGTGAAAGTACTGAGCAAGAATCATCGGGTGATCAAGGAGAGTCCGAAAAGACACCAGAGATCAAGGTAGCTTGACTGGATGGTTGATCTTCCACTGCTTTATGTGTACGCTACTTCCATCTTCTAATGCTGTTTTTTTTCCGCCTATATGATGGTTGGATACCAGCTCGAGACAGCACCAGCAGACTTTCGTTTCCCAACTACAAATCAGACCAGGCACTGCTTTACCCGCTATGTTGAGTATCACCGGTTAGTCTGTTTAGCTGTATTTCTACCTTTCTATTTTTCCTTGTACTTGGTCATTAACCATAGCGGCATATTTGCTTTCTTCAAGTTTTCTTGATTTGTTTGGTATTTTCAGGTGCATAGCTGCTAAGGGTGATGGTGCTCCCGAGTGTGATAAGTTTGCAAAATATTATCGATCTCTTTGCCCCGGGGAGTGGGTATGTACTTGTATGATCTTGCATGCGTACAAAGCTTAAAATGCGCTTGTTATATCGCTGAAATGCGTATTTGACATGGGGTATTCTGTCATTGCTACAGATAGATAGATGGAATGAGCAAAGGGAGAATGGCACATTTCCTGGGCCACTGTAGTTGGTTCCTGCTGGTGTACACGATCATCCCCCAAAATCCAAGCTCCTTCTAAATCTTCCGGATGAGTAGGCAAAGTAATTTAAACTGCTGAGCTAATAAAAATTTCGGCGTTTCTGTTGGAACTAGTTCCAGTCCAAATCTGTATTGCCTCTCCTTCGATTGAATGTTTTTTTCCTTCATTTTCTATGCTTTGAATGTTTCGTTACGGAAACGACTCATCGAGCAGAACATGAATGCCAATATTGAAAACATATGCGATGATGATAATTTGAGTCCCCCACTACATATTTGCAAGCATTTGCCAATCAACTCTCCATACATGTGCACTTATAGAATAATATTACTGTTTGTCACCTTGTCTAAATTAGGAGTTCCTACTTCATTGTTCAGACTTAAAAACACTGTAATGTTGAATTCCAGAAACCAGCGTGAGATTTCCAACTGTGATTTTATCCGATCTTGGGGAGGGGTGAAGCGTGGTAGGCCTGCACTGGGGGAGCATAGCATAGGGAGGAAAAGGAGCCCGGACAGTGGAAGAGCCAGGGAGGCTGGGTCAAATCGGAAATGGGAGGCTTTTCCCAATGAGAGAAGAACATGTTGTCCAAGTGATAAAAAAGAAATGAAGCTGATAAAAATACATAGTTTTAAGGTTACTCTGCACCATTTAGAAAATTGAATGCAACTATGGCTAATGCACAGATATGGTGTCGAATGTGTGTCCCTATAAAACTTGAAAGCCTCCGTAGGAGGGCTGTCCATGGTTCATAATCCGACTCGCTAGGTTTTGCTGTCTTTCTACAATTTGAGTTTGCTCAGATCAACTTTTTGGACAGGGTATGTATATGCCTCATAGTTTATTTGTTGGCCCAAGCTACTCAATTTTGTGAGAGTAGTTATCAAGTCAACCTGTAACAAAAAAAAAAAAAAACCAATTCTTGTGGTGTTAGACATGTCGGAGGAGCTGCTCCAAAGAATATAAGAATTTTATCCAACAGCATCACAAATCTCAAAATCCAACTTATTAGTTGATTCAGTTATTCATGGATAGATTCATGATAGCTGGCTGATAATCTGGTTGTGTTGTATGGACTAATGTGAGTAGACCTATTTGAAAAACTGAGAAATAAGACATTAATCAAGTGCAATTATCAATTTTCTTGAATTGGCTTTTGTCTATTAGCCAGTAAAAAGATTATGATCAATGAAGAATTGTCGATGATCTTTAGGTTAGGAGAAATAAGTATGGTAATGACCTCATAGTCAGTCTCAGACACCGTCTCTCGACTGCGTTGGTATTTCTGAACCCATGGAGCAACATCCGGATCTGTAGCCAATAATGCCTCTGTCGCGGCCTGATCAGGACCTAAGAATGCAGACATAACAGCTAGCTGCCCAATTGAAATACGAAAAAAGTGGGTCAATTGAATATTAATTATGCGAAACAAATTGGGGCAAAAAAAAATATATAAAGTAAAGAAGAGGATGGAAAAAAAGTTGTAAGAGCTTGTATTCATACTCTAAGACCACTTCAAATGTCAACATTTTTCTAGCTACCATATCACAAATGTAACTTGTGAGGGAACCATACTAAGGTGCATATGAACACAAAGGTTTTCAATTTGCAATCATAAATACAGATCACTGGTCAAATGTTTATGATACAAGGCTCTAAAATGCAAGTTTTCTATTATAAATGGAATGAAGAATTACCTGTCGAGGACCAAAACCAACAGCTGAAAACTTGTCTTTCATTTCCTGAACACTTGCTTTCTTCCACTGGGGAACTCTCCCCTCTGGATCTGGCTCTTGGGTGTCTGACCTCCCAAACTGCCTATCAAACAATCCCCACTGTAGGCAGAAAGACAATTGTATCCATAAAGATAACAGACAACATATAAAAAATGAGTCTGCAACTGAAAGCATTATCAGCATACATGCTGGTATCCCACTTTGTACATAGTTAGCCCTGCATCCCAAATCCAAGTTCAGAAGAACATTTGATTGGAAAGAACACGCCATACCAATTTTTCCAACGCAAAACACTGATTTGCACAAGTCTTTGTGTTATACAAAAACTAATGTCATAAGACTCTCCGTGTTAATTTGGAGGATGTTCCAAGGAAAATACTTCTCTTCATGTCCCAGTGTCATGTTTTAATGTCACATAGTAATCAGAGATGGATGGGCTTTTTAAAAAGAATATAAATGTACCTGTAATTCTATACACCCAGAATGTTTGAGCTAGACATGACTTTACCACTGTGTGTCAAATAGAGTGGTGGTTAGAGGTGGCAATCTTAACCCATTATCCATTAATCCGTCCAATCCGCCCATAAATAAATGGGTTGGATACATATATTAATTAATATGTATTCTAAATAGATTGGGTATTATGATTCATTTTAATTAAGCGGATTAATATGGATTATAAATGGGTATCCATTGTGTTGAATATTTATCTTTCTTTTAAATAGAACAAGTAATAAAATTAAATAAATATATTAATATACCAAAAAATACACACTATTACACCAAAAAATATATATATATACACTAATACACTAAAATATACACACACTAGTTCACAAAAAACACACACTAATACACCTCCTATGACCCACGACCCACCCATAGCCTACAATTGACCCCGACCCATTATATGTGTATTTTTTTTTTATTAAATGTGTTTTAGTTTTTGTTTTAGTATATGTGTGTGTATTTTTGGTGTATTAGCGTGTATTTTAGTATATTAGTGTGTATATTTTTAATGTATTAGTTTGTGTTTGTTTTGGTGTATTTGTGTGTGTGTGTGTGTGTATTGGTGTACTAATATGTCTATTAAGAATTTTAATTATTTTATGGGTTAATCGGTTTAACCTAACCCATAATAAACCCAACCCATTATAACCCATTTACTACGTGAGTAAAAAATGGCTTGGATTTATTTTAGTCCAATCCAATTTAACTCAACCCATAACCAATCCAAACCACCCATTTGCCACCTCTAGTGGTGGTCTTCAATCGCAGCTTAGAATGTTCGTTGCAATAGTATAAGATGCTTGCTTGATTACTAGCCTAAACAAACAATGTGTAAGAGTGTATTCTCTGGGCAATAATTATACAAATTATCACAGTTCAGTCAGTGATTCAAGGAATTGGCCCAAAACTGAAAACATACAAAAGGTGGGTTAAAACAATAATTTTTTCTCAATTCTCATCATTTTTCTTCATTTTCAACATGTGTGACTGTGTTCGAGAAAAACAAACCTATATCAAACAGAACTAATTGCAGTTCACATGCAGGATAAATATTGTTAAAAACTGTAAAACTAACACATTATGAGTGACTAACCTGCCCAATTGAACCATATGCTGAGTACAACAAGTTTCCTTTCTCCTCATTACCACCACATTTGCTAATGGCAGAAGCCAGAAAGGTAGATTTTAGTGCACTTTGTGCTGCATCAAGTAAATAAAACTGAGTCAGGGGCATTCAAACACAAACTGAAACAGGATTAATTTGTTTTCTTTTTTCGCAACTTTAAGTACTAATCTACTTGGTAGCTAAATTCCATGCAGAGTGGTTGTGAAATGCAACCACAAATCTGAAAGGGTAAAGGCGAGGTTAGGTGGTTAAAATGTTGCTGCTTATCCAAACCTAAAACACCACAACACCAATGCACACACAGATATAGGACAAAAGTACCCGCACATATTGACTTTACTTTGTTCATCAAGGAACTTAAAATAAATTCGTCATTACAATTCGGAAAATGAACTTGTCTTTATTTTTTCTATTTATCATGTTTAGTTTTAATTTTATTCTAATGGAGAACAAAGGATCTCAAACACATTCAAAATTGATACTGGATTATTACATTTCCAAGTGAATTTCTAAGGTCTTTGCTGTAGTCTGGCCAACAAGCCACTGTGCAGTTCAAGCATATCAGAAGCAACATAGCTGCTAAACTTTTTAAAATTGCTGTTATTAACATGCTAACCTGAAGATTGGATGAGATCTGCAAATGAAATAGGTCCACCCTTCGAATACGAATCTATCTCCTTCTTTGCTTCCTCCAACAAATTCAAAGCAGCAGAAAGCCCCATATTTTCTGGTCTATTAATCTCTGAGCTTCAAGCAAGAAAAATTATGGACGAGGAGGTCATGAAGGTAATGTTTGAGAATGAAGCTACAAACCTATAGTCAATATATCTTAAAAGGTAAAACAAGATTGAAAATTTAAGTAATAAAGCAACTATTGTTAGAGATAGAGGACCCAAAAGCTATGGATCAAACTGACAAATCACAATTTTCACATTCCTCATCCCATACACGAGGAGTGGCAGTTTTGTAGACTGGCACTTAACTACCCAAAAAGTGAAACCTTACTAGCCAACATTTTATAGCATTATATATAAATCAATTGATGCTGCGAGCTGAGTTTGAATTTGCACCACATTTTGATTGTTAAATGAATTGTAGAACTCTCCTCTAAAATTGTGCCCAAGACACCCTCGCCAACTGCCAAAGGACTACAGGAAGTTAATATGCAAACTCTTATGCTTTGCTTAGATGATAAGTACATTTCTACTAAGCTAGCGCGACATGTAACAAATACCTGAACCGTATTGATCCATTTGGGCCACCAGATTTAGTTGCCTATCAAAATTAAAACCAAATCAGTTCTTCTGTTCCCATTTGAAACACAAACTAAGCTTTTAGGTTTTCTCCCCGACCTTATCATAAGTCATAGCATCATTAAGTGCTAAAGTTAGTATGGATGGGATGAGATCGGGATTTCCCTGAAATAGAATTAGGCAGAGTAAATAACACATGGAAGGTTAAAAACCGGGTGAACTCTGTTAAATAATACAAACAATGTGTGATAAAACCAACAACCATTTCATTAGGCATGGATGTAGGATTTACCTTGATAGCGGTGAAAAGGGTCCCCTTGACATTAGCTTTGAAAAACAAAGATGCAGATTTAGTTCAGTAGTGAAAAGAGTAGTAAATTTAGCATGAATAAGTCATGGAAGAGAAGCTTACATTGGAACTCTGAGCGCTGTCTGCGTTGTATTATATCAGCAGCATTGGCCACTTCAACAAATGAGCTGGAGCTTGCTATTATTTCCTACAGAGAAATAACAACTGGCAGAAACTGATCATCACATCACTCTAATCCTAGAACTATGTATTCATATAGACATCTTCCTGCATAGAAACTGTAAGGGGAATTCTCCCCCCCACGGAAGGATTCTGGCTAACCTGGGTGAACACCCAGTAGCCTTTATACGGAGGTACCTCCTCCATAGTGGGTGTTCACCTATGGCAGGGGGGAAGACGACTCTCTCCCGATGTGGGACGAGAGGTAAAGGCTATTGGGTGTTCACCCAGGTCAGCCAAAATCCTTTCATGGAGGGGAGAATTCCCCTTACAAAAAGTCAGGTGCTAGGAGGTACCTCCTCCATAGTGGGTGTTCACCTATATGGCAGGAGGGGAGAAGACTCTCTCCCGATGTGGGACGAGAGGTAAAGGTTACTGGGTGTTCACCCAAGTCGACCAGAATCCTTCCGTGCGGGGGGAGAATTTCCCTTCCAGAAACAGATTGAACTACCTTTCTTGACTAATTGACAAATATATTTTGTAGTTGAATTTTTTAAGACTCCCAAAATCATTGGCAAGTTGGGCACATATTTGGTATGAGAATATATTTAGCGAAATAGGTCCAAAATTCACTGATTTTTGAGGAAAAGGCAGTCCAAATGGGCTGTAACGCCACATTATATTCAGTAGTTAATTTGAGCCATAACAATGTACTAACTCCTATTTCAGATCAATAATTTGTACTCTTTTGCATCATTGGGAATACACAGATTATTAGATATATCTATAGTTGTAGAGATACACGCACAAATTAAAATTTTGTATTCCCAAAATGCACATGAATAATTAAACGCCTTTGAATACCCAAAATACTTAGCAGTCCATTTAACAGAGCAAAACTACATACAAGTAAAATCAGAAACACCAGTGTTATGTTTATGCATTTCACTGCAGAAAAGTGTCAAGAAAAAAATAAAGCATGGCAGAAATTAAATAAATAAAAAAAGGCGTACCATGCACATGGTAGCCCCAAAGCAATTAAGAATATCCCGTCTCCGGAAGCGGCCCTCATTGGTAAAATCAGCTTCAGCCTTACAACAGATAGTACCCTGATATATTCAAGCATCCAAATGGTAAAATCAGACTGCAATACTATGCCATTTCTCAAGAGAATCAGAACAAATTGGCTTAGCAACGTTTTGAACAAACAATAGTTTTAAGACCATGTGGAAGTGCTTGTTAATTTAGATATGCATAGACAATGTCACTGGATTATCTTCACATAGCCGGGTATGAGTTATATTTACATACGCAGATACACAGACACAGAAAAAGAAGACAAAGAAAGAAATAAATGATGATGTACAGAGCAAACTTACAGCATGAGCCGGGTATCCAGAAGCAGTGCGAGAAGACAAAGGAACAAGTGGAAGCAAAGATGGGACAGTTGAGAGGAATAAGACCAACCCCATTTCCTTCTCTCTCTCTCTCTCTCTTCCCTTGAGAATTTAGAATGGTGTCTGAGAGAGGGAGTGAAGGGAGCGGAGACGGGAATGGGCCTATATGGAGTTTACGAGTGTCTCTGCTATGTGAATTGTGTGGAGTGTTATCCTATCCTTAACGTTGGTTGTTTGGGGTCCACCTATTCCATATTCCCGAAATTTCTTTGGAGGGTTAATTATCATTTCACTCCCAAAAGTATCATATCATTCCTTCTTTGGTCCTTCAACTTTTTTTGTTTCCTTGAATTCAATTGGTCACCACCATCCAAATAGATGAAATGTATAACTGGTGGTTAACAGTTCTAGAGTGATGGTAATGCCCAAATTAGCGACATAAAAGTAAAAAAAAAATTAATCGTTATTATCTCATGCTCGTCTTCAGAAATGAAATGGTCAATCGCTACCATAAGCCCAAAAGATTTGGAACCACCTAACCAAAGGAGAAAAATGAATCGATTTTATCTCTTTTATTGCATTGAAATGGATGTCCAAGAATGGATAGATACAGTTAAATATAACTTAACTCCACCAATTATACTCTATCTCTGGGGCAAGATATTCTTGTACAGACTCTTCCCCATCCTATCTTTTCCGATGCACAAGTATATATTGCCTCAGATATCTACTATCAGGATAATGGCAGCACCAGCTGCTGAAGCTTCATCTGTACTAAGTAAGTGAAAATTGCCACCAACCCACCAGGAAGATGTTTCCTGCAAAAAATTTGGTCTGCTATATTTGATCTACTTGATAATGAACGAGCTGTTCACAATAGGCGATTCCTTCCGACATAAACAATCAGGTAAGGGGTTCACGTAAAATGCTTCCTCCGAGCGAAATCTGTCCATCCCCTTGGTTCCAGAAATGGGCCCTTTTCTCTTCCTGGGAGATCCTTTCCTGCCCAATTAGCATAAAGAAACAAGAACAAAAAATCTCAGTAAATTTCCATCCATGGTCACCCTACCAACAAACTGAGTATGTTCAGATTAACGATTGGAAGACACAGAAGCGATAATTCCTCAAACAGGTCTATACCCAAAAGCACCCCTAAAATATGATGCAAGACATGCNTAAATTTCCATCCATGGTCACCCTACCAACAAACTGAGTATGTTCAGATTAACGATTGGAAGACACAGAAGCGACAATTCCTCAAACAGGTCTATACCCAAAAGCACCCCTAAAATATGATGCAAGACATGCCCCTTGAACAAGAATAACATTTAATACCACCATATGATCAAGATCGTTGTGTAATGCACTTATAGAGGTCTAAGTTAATACTGGCAAGTAAATTCATCACCAGAATCACCAGCATTACTTGATGTCCAGAATGTTACAACTGGACTTTAGAGGATAAACACATCTTCACATACCGTCTTTTTTGGATTTCTGCAATTCTATTCCACATATTTTTGCCTTCTTTCATTGTTCCTTGCTTGATTTTGTCAAATAGACGGACAAGAGCTTTTCTGAAAATTGGTGGAGAATAAAACATAATTTCAACATTGTTCATACCATAGAGGAAGTAAATTACTGAAAAGCTGGATAGGCTATATAAAAGAAAATGTCTTGCCTGTCGGGAGAAATAGTTTTCCTATGTTCCAAAAAACGACGATGGCCCTCAACTGCTCGTGCCATGTTTCCAGAGTATGAAGGTATAAATATGTCACTCTCAACTGATACAATGTAGTCTAGTGCAGCCATTTGCGACGCATAATTGGCGAATGGTTCGAGCTCCTCAACTGATGCTAGTTTTCCCTGCAAAATGAGCAGAAGATGTGAATCAATCTCCCACCAAACCATCTTAGATCTTAGATTTTACAAGAGCTCAACTTCAACAAACACAGGAGAGTAGCAATGATTGTAATTTAAAAGAGACTTCAGTTTCAACCTTCAACCCCAACGTATTCAAACTATTCCATAAGCTTGACGGGGTTTTCTACCTGGGGATGCTGTTATTCAGTCCTAGATTTCACAATGTTCGGGATTGCACAGGGCTGCAGTGTTGGCTTTGGCCGATAAGCTCAGTAAAGTTTATTTACTCTAAGAAGATAAAACTTGATTTTGCAAGTGCATGCAAATCTGAGATTCAAAAATCTCTTGAGTCACTAACTTTGTGGCTGAAGTTAACCTTACTGTTTGTCTCTCAGTAGTAGTAATCAATTTCAAAGCAAGTCCAAAATTTGTTCCCCAAGACTTTCATACATCTTGATTAAAAAGAGATAGAAAAAGAGAGACTTATGCAGAACAGGAATGTCACACTATCTCCTATTTTTAAGTTTTTTTATATTTCCATTTGTGGGGGTGGAGGAACCTAATTAACATATTGCTTGTTTCTCCTTTGGCCATTGAGTCGGACTCACAATTTGCTCATTTAAGTTCCCCCTGTAAAAGCAATGTGAATGCTAATCTCTCAAATGACTAGACTGTATATCCAAGGCTATCGCATTAACCAACCCATATGAACCAAGGCATCCCCCTTAAAGCCCAAAATGTTTAAACGCGGTACAGACCATCAAGTCATCATAATCAAGCTATAGAGTTCTTCTACGGATTGTGAACCTTGGTCTTAAGGTTGCGCAAGGAATACTTCAACATGGAGAATGCTAAATTCCTTTTCTAGACAGTAATAATCTCGCCATGCAGTAAATAGTTAATTGACGCAAAATTTATTTACATTCTCAGTTCATCTTCAGCTATGATCAGTTCAAGTCTTCGTAACAACCAACTATTTTTCACTGTGAACTTGTTCTACTTTCAAGACCAATCATTCAGTTGTAATGACTGACTAACTAGATCTGTCAACCACCATCCACACATGTTTGGGTCCAGATTATAAAGATGCATTCAATGTATTGCAATAGCAACATAGAATCAACCACAGGTGAATTCTAAGAACGTGACCAAGACTACTGGCCACTTCAGAGACACAACTTTTCAGAAGGATTGCAGACAGCAGCCACCAGCGTCTGCCAGTCAAATCCTCTCATAAATACCTATCACTTGCATGATTGCTTTCCTTTTTGGCTATTCATTGTAGTTTAACACAAGCAAGCTGTCCTAATGTACCACAACTCATCCCAGATAAGCCAGACATTGAGATCCAATACAAATGGATAAGATTTTACCCGGATGAATATCCTACAAAGGTCAAGTCAAATATGTTTGCAATCCAAACAAAGTCATACCTATAATTTAAAGTACGTCTAGTCCAACTAATAATGCCGCAAATGTAGCTGATGCTTACTTGGGAATTGGACAACATATACATGCATTTCATGTTTATCTTGCACCTGAGGTTTGTTTTTGAAACCAAATGGAACCAAGATTTAATTTTTTTCATTAAACAAGAACGGATCCAACTAATTGGAACACAATAGAAAACCTATCAAATCTGATATTGTCATGTATAATCAGCTACAGGCTCAAATTTTCTTAATTCACAGTTCCACGATTGAGAGTTGTATTTGGTTGTTTTCCATGATCGCATGAAGAGTGTGATTTTAAAGTACTCATATAAATGGAAGGCGCCAAGACCCATTGGCTTCAGCTTTTGAGTCAAAACTGTGTTCCACCAAGTGTATTTGGGTTCTGGTATCTCCCTGTTGTTTTCCATGATCACATGAAGAGTGTGATTTTAAAGTACTCATACAAATGGAAGGCGCCAAGATCCATTGGCTTCAGCTTTTGAGTCAAAACTGTGTTCCACCAAGTGTATTTGGGTTCTGGTATCTCCCTGTTACTCCCTAGCACACAACAAAACCGACCTATAAACAGACCTGGGGCAAGCACACTCTCAAACAGCAGTACAATGCCACATTTATATGTCCTAAAAGAAAGAACTCAAGAGGCAATAGATCTTGTAACCTTTGACAATGGATTGAAACAAAGCATTTCTTAACCTAAAGGGCTAGGAGGTTGCCACTATGCTACTAAGAAAATGAAGTTGCCTCTAGATCACGGTGAAAAGGTGGAGCAAAGTTGAACGAAGGTCTTAAGTTTAAGGCTTAAAATAGGCCTAGATCGTTTAAGCGCTACACCGTCCAACTCCCCACCCCCAACCCCCACCACCCTAGGGGCTTAAGGAAGGGGGTAGAAGGGAAGAGAGTCAATGAACTCATTGAAGTAAGGTTGTATGTAATGGATCTGGCTTTTATGAATTAACTGGTTCTTGAAGTTCTTCATTATCAGTTTATACATGTACCTTCTGCTACATGAGTTCCATGCGCTTCGCTATCAAAATCAGGCCCTTATCTGCTTCCAACCTAACGAGCCATCACTATGGTTCACAAACGGCTTCTTATTGGCAGCACAATGTTTCAATGAATTTAGGCTGAAACATAAACACCATAAAGTGATGCCAACCACAGCCTCCTTACCTTGTTCATCAATAAGGGATAGCGGGATTGCAGGTCAGCCATACGAGCATCACCCCCATATATATCTCCAGCAGCAATATATATAGGAGTGTTTGATGGGACTCCAGAAGCATTAAGGAACATTCCAACTTCTTTTGGAGTTAATGGGCATAAACCTTTGGCTCTCTGTTCCATGGGATCAATGTCTTTCACTTTCCAATGGGAAGTGTTTTCTCTGCAAGTTCACAATGAAAATGAAATATAAAAAGTTGGCAACTGGCGGTATGAAAAATAGAACATTATTTGTCAAAATAGAAAAATGCAACATCTATTACTTTGAAACATCTGTTGGACATCTCCCACCTGAGTATTCTAAGTTCATCAGCTTCTTCCGGGGATAAATCTTGTGTGCATCCACTAAAGGCAAGCATGTCTTTTTCATAGCGTAAATGCAAAGCAATGTAACGACCATAGGACTTCATTCGATCCACCAAAAGCTACAAAAGCCAATAGAACAGTAACAAGAATGATTGCCACTGCATTGAAAACAACAAGGACATCGACATTCAACATTTAAATGGTCATTTAAATCGAAATATTCACTTTTCCCATCACTTCAATTTGGGGTGCAAAACGAAGAGCTTCATAAAAAGCACGGCAACGCAACTTCTGAATATCTGGAGGCAGATTATTATTTGCAAGTCGAGAATCAGACTTAGCGGCTCGAATAACCTGTGGAAATGAGGCGATGAATTGATTATTTTACATTGGAAAAATCCTATTGACCAAGAAAACAGATTTTGAATGAAACATTTCACCAAGCATACCTGATATTCTTCCCACATGCTTGCTATATCTTCCTGATAGTAATCTATACCAGACCAACTTCTAAAGAGCTTAACTGCTTTCGCTGCAGTTTCCATCTCTTTAGGAAGTTTCTTAATGATCTTTACATCGTTAGACAATGAATTAACAAAATAATCTTCATCAAATACATCAGAGAAATTGCTGCAGTCCAAACATACAAATTAAATACATCACAAGCATGAAGAACTTGAGATAGATGCAAAGTAAAAAGGAACAAAAAAAATTGAACCTGGTGTCCTGCCAAAATGAGCTTTTGTCAAGTTCTGGAATCACAAGAGTAGCGTTTATAATACGAGCAACAGCAACCATGTCACTTATCTAGAGGTCAGAAATGAGAATGTTTTTCAGCTCCAGACCAATCATGAAGTAATGATGAGTTGTGAAATGCGTATGCACATGCTGGAAGCTTTGGCATTTCATGGCTGTTATACCAAGCCAATAAACTAGAGGACGAATATTGAAATCCTATACTTTTAAAATTTTCCCAATTATAGATGAAGACAAGGAAGGAGTTTTGGACCAGTCTTTTTTCCAACTCTAAAGCAGTAGATCAGCTTGATTTTGAGTGGCATATTCCCTTTCTACTGCTGAAATAGGGGAAATCTCCATATATGTTGATTAACTTGACTCATTTTCATAAAAAAATGAGTCAAACCTGTATTAAGACTTTGATAATGCAACATGTCCTAACAGTGATATGTAAGAGGAGCGTAGACTATACTACAAAAATTAACTATGAGCACAAGTGGTTTATTTGCATGTTTGGATTGCCAGATAACCCATCAAAAGTGCATTAAACCTAACAAGTTTATCAGAAGAGACCACAAGGGGACCTGAATTTTGACCACAAATAGCAAGGGCTGATATTATGCTGCAATTAAGATGTAATCCAAACCTAGGGTTTGGATGAGGGGTCAAAGTAGATAGGACTAATGGGGGACCTCAACTAAAGTAAAGGCATCAATTACCTCAACTAATGGAGCCAATCTCGTAAAATGCAAGACAGGCTCAGATCGGGTTGAAATTCCCACCCCCAATTTGACGGTTTGCTAAATTAGCACACTTCATGCATGTGTACAGCCAAAAAACCACAGAAACATCTCACTGATAGGTTAAACATCATATTGTCTCTACATAAGGAAGACTCCCAACTGCACAGAATTCACGTAAAGGCATAAACTAATTCATGTTTACTATTATTGTTTCATGACCAAGAACATGATAGAAATTCAGGTAATTTTTTAACAATTGAAATTAACATGCAACTAAAAAACATGGAAGCAATTGGTTTCTACTCAAGCCAGTTTCCTCTTGTTATTTCTTAGTTGAGAATACAATCCAAATTTTTCAGCAAGAAAACCATAAAATCCCCACTTATTGATTGCTATTTGCACAATCTAATTATCCATATCTTGTACAGCGCGGAAACTATTTGCAAAAGCATCTGTATTGGCTTTCTGACCTTTGGAATATTTAACAGATTAGAGATGGAATGACTGTCTCAGCATTCCAGTCTTAATTTCCCATCAAACAACAACCATTTCAGCAGAGCATGGAAAGTAAAAATAAAAAATAAAAAATAAAAATAAATAAATTTTAATTCTCAAAAGGGGTTGAGGACTGGAGGTCCTCAATTACAGAAAAATAATTGCCACAAATCAGTTTAAATTTTATACATGAGAGAGAGAGAGAGAGAGAGTACTGACCCCAGCCCGCATCTGATTGAGCCCACCATTTGTATTAACAAGCAAGTAACCTCGAGACTCTCCAGGAGCTAGAAGTACACTAAATATTCAGAAATTAAAGTCCAGAGAGATATCCCACATGCGCATTAGTAGGAAAATAATAATTCCCTTACATGTGTAGGATGAACTTGGTTCGAAGCATGGCACATAGTCTCGATTGGGTGGCCGCTTCCACAAGTTGTCCTCCTCCAAACTCCCACATGCAACATCCAACTGCAAGTCTAAAGGAGTGAAAACATGGAAGATAAAAATGACTACTTTTGTATCAACATATACACATACCTAGAACTCCTTAAAGAGATCAAAATGTTGTAACCATAAATCATTTATTACAAATAACTCCTTTGAGAGAACATAAAATCTTGGGAGCAGGGAGAGGAGCTTCTGACAAACGGGGTGTGCAAGAATGGCAAATTCTTGCATCCAGCTTCACTCTCTGCTCAATTTTTGGTATCGAACTCCATGTTACTTCAAAATTGAGCCATCCCAGATCAGTAAACAATCCTATTGCAGAATCCGTAATGCAGGAAAAATTAATACAAATAAAAAACTTCAATCTGTTACTAAATAAAGCCACTTAAATTGCGTCTATGGAAAACCCCAATCTTAATTAAGGAAGAAAGAATTTTGTTTAGTCGACATCCATATCAAAACAAAACAAATAGGAAAAATAATAATAAAGAGAAAGTAAAGAACTTCCCTCGAACTTTACTTTCCTCGAATCTTGAGTTGAAAACAAAAACTATGATGAATATAGATCACATAAATCGAATCAAGTGGACTGATTGTAATGGCATTAACTTCAATATATATGTATATGTATACACTCATATTAACTAATGCACAATGATTCAAACACAGAATCTGAGCATAACTAAGACTAATCCTAATCAGAACTAGTTAAACCGAGGATTCCAAGAAGTTGAAACCCTAGAAACAAAAAGCTAATACTAGAAAAAGATGAACAAAGTAGTAATTGTACAGAGTATTACCGTAGGGAGCTTGCAAGGCTCAGGCAACTTGATGAATTCCGAGGGAAGGAATGCTTTCAAATGAACATGGAGTAGAGCAAACAGTGCTATCATGCACAAGGCGCAAGTTATCACGTAACGCACCACCACCACCGTCCTCCGCCTCTTCCTCTGCATCTCTCTGTTTCTCACTCCAAACTCAGTTTTTCTCTCTGTAAAACCAATCAACAGAGACATCATAAGAAGCCATAAACAACACTATCTCTCTTTCTGTTTATCTGCATGTATGTATATGTATATGTATATATCTAAGTGAGAATGATGGAAGGGGTCGGCAGTTTTTGAATCTTTGTGTGTTTGTGTTTGTGTTTGTGTGTGTGTGTGTGTGTGTTTTCTGAAAGTTTTGCTTCACCTTCTATCGCTTTCGTCGGTTTTAATGGCATTTATACATTTATTAGCAAAAGAATAATAAATGTAGAGTGAGGAGAAGAGAGAAAATCGGTAATGTTGGCCAATAGTAAAGAATTTCAAAGCAAATTAGATATGATGAAATATTATCTCCTAATTCATAGGCTTACTAGCAATTATCCTTTTTAAAAAAATTTTTATCCAACAATATTATTTGGACATAATTTACTAATATAATTTTTGAACTTAATCTTTTACAACTATTTAATTGATTGCGGATCCCAACGACCGAGTATATAAAAGGTAAAAATTGTTAATTTTTAGGGCAAATGACTTGCACCTCGAAAGATTAAAAAAAAATTAATTTGTAAAATCAAAGATTAATTATTTTAAATTGTATCCTCAATTAAATTAATTGATAATAATGTAACCCCAATCATAGACGTATGTGAAAAAGGGAACAACCATAATCTAACAAAAATCACCACGTGTATTTCACGTGACTATCAATTTGACGAAAATCACAATCTCAACCATAACGTCCATGACAATTTTTATTGGCTTTTCAAGCACATGAAAAGGTGCAGCGTCGTAATCCGACCAAAGTCATCACATGCATCTAGCATGACTGACAATTGGATGAAAATAGCAACAAACGTTATGGTTGGGGTTACATTATTACTAATTAATTTAATTGAAGGTATAATTTCAAATAATTGATTTTTGAAGGTACAAATTAAAATTTATCAATGTTAAAGTTTAATCTAAATTTAGATAATTATTAAATAAACTATTAGTAAACAATAAGAACAATTAATAAATGTAAGTACTTCAACTTTTTAACAAATTTGTAAAATTATTTATATTTTATAATATAAAACATGACAAGTTTCAATAAGTTTATCCGACGGTTTCAAATAGACTCATTTAACGGTCATCGTCCCTTCTAAAATCATTTACATTACAACGTACCTTCAGATATGAGTTACTCCATTACTGTGTGTAAAACATGAAACAAGAAAAATTGTACTTCTTGTCTTGTGAAAATTTTGTCTTCTATTAGATCAAGGGTTCAAGTCCCTCTCCCCAAAAAAAAAATAGAGTCCCCATATATGCCCCTTAGAATGCACTCATCATGCAAATGTATTGAGGTCTTTTTGATGCAACATTATCCATAATGAATAAGATATCTATTTTTAGAATGAGAGAGGATGAAGAATCAAGTCTATGATATACGTCCATGGCCTCAAAGAAACAAAATTAGACAAGGGAAGTAGAGAAACAGAAACGGGTAATAAAATTGTAACCTAACTCATATATCTTCTTGTATGGCCATCCTTCTATCTTAACTAGGTTTTCTATTTCTATTGAATTAGGAGTGAAACTAGATTGGTAATTTACAATTTGGATGCAATTAGACTACTTGGTCAATTAGTCAACTCTTGCCTTGAATAGAATAGATTCCTTAATACTTCGTTTGGTTGGAAGGATAGAAAGTAGGAATAATACACTTTTCTTTCTTTGTGTTTGGTTGGGTGGATGAAAAATAAAAATGACTATTTTTTTTTTAATTTTTTTTATGATGACTAAGATTAGGGTTGACAATCGAGTCATGTTGTGTCAAATTCGTGTTGAGTGATAAAATTATGATTTTTTATATTTCTTGTTATCGGTCATTTTTAAGTTCGTGTCGAGTTATAATCAAGTTCGTGTCATAAAATTTGTGTCGAGTTCGAGTCATATTATCGTGTTGAGTCACAAATTTTCACCCCTACTTAAAATAAAAAAATATATATTTTTTAATTTAAAATTTAAAATTTAAAATTTTTTGTTTTTTAATATATTTTATCATTATTTTTTTTATATGAAATTAATGTATACATAATATATAAATAAATAAGATACATCTCAACACAAATAATTAACTTTACATCCACTTTCCTTCCGATTTTGGAGGGATTGATTTTGATCGGTTGGAAGGAAAGTTAATCCATCCATTTTTCCATCATTCCTATTTTCCTTTCTTACCAAACATGATATTTTATATATCCCTCTAATTTTCCATCATTCTATTTTTTCATCGTACAAAACGGAGAATTAATTATATTTCTATCCCACCTCATGAAAATAATTATTTTTTTTAACTTCGTAAAAATTGTAATAAAGTCCTTTATGCTAAAATTTGGAANATGAATGAATAAATGCATTTTCATGATGAACACTGAGGGAACTATTATGGGTTTTACGATTTGTTATTTTATTGGTAAGGTATGTTGGAATCCTTAATTGTAAACAATTCTTTGACCCTTGACATTAATTCTATACTCTGCGACATTAATAATAACCTTTGAAATTGTTATTTTTGCTTTACTTCATGTGCTTTAGTCGGCATAATGTTTTAATGAGGTATTTATTGGCGACTGACATAGGCGATACATGAGATTTATAACTCAGTGCCTTCAAGTACNATTTTTCTAAATTGCCCATGATATATTTAAAAAAAAACTTCATCTACACCCTTTTTAGATGGACATATCTTCAATGAGACATCCTCGATTAAAATTCGAGCTGATTAAATTTTTTTCTACATATTAAAATTTGACATAATTTATCACAATCATCGGATGTGGTGCAGGTTTTAATAAATACTACGGTCTACCTTCTATCCAATAATTATGAATGATTAGGTCAACAAATTATGTCAATAAATTAAATTTAAGTTGTATTCAACTTACAATTATGATGAACAAGTTACCATATATTCATGGCCTCATTAAATAATGCTACACAACTAAACAATTCCTAAATAACCTTCTAAACAAAATGTTGTGGCCCATAACCTTGTTTAATTTCAAAACTAAGGTTCTTTATTTTGATTAGTCGGATATGAATTAATATTTTTTTTATTGATAATTCAAATTTGAATCTGTTATCTTATATTTCATAGATTTGAATTTATATATACATATATCCGATCCAATTTTAATCTGATCCGAATATATATATATTTATATATAAATATTAAAAAAATTAAGTGATTATTTGAACAAATTTATATGTAATTTATTATTTTTTTGTTAAATTAATTTATTTGGATCGGATTAGATTGGATGAAAATACATCGATTGAATAATCAGATTGAATTCGGATTAGACTTTTAAAATCAAATTTGTATTCGGATCTGTCAAAATCTGATCTATTCACCGGCTTAATTACTACCACCTCATTAGACAATTATTGTCAAAAAAATCTACATTAATTAAAAACAAAGAACAACTAATTGAAGCTACGTAGCATCATTGATTAATGATGGCATGCATGTACATAAGACTTCTTGTATATACTTTTGTTGTATAACAAAAAGGTGGTATAAATTCGGAAGTAAAAAATAATAAATGAAAACAAAGAAGATCGGGTCGTTAGACAAAAAATGTTAGGCGTTAACGTCGAGATAGTAATTTTTCAACAAATGATGCATATAGATTCTGGAGATTCTACACCTACGATATAATGTTTAACTTTTTAGATTATCTGAAATTATATTTCTTAACAATCTTGAAATCAGAATTCAACCCGAATGCAGAATATCAGAAAATTGCACCTTTTTATGTGGGCAATGTACACAACAGCTTGCTAAACCTAACAAACATGAATGGACGAAGCTATGTTATTGTCTGAAGTCATGGCCTTCCCTGGTTTTTAAGCTATTGTTTGAATAGAAATTTCTCTCTTTTTTTGACAAAGTACCCTCTTCAAAATTGGATTTTGGTTCTGGTTAGTTCTTCTTTTGCATACATCAATAGATACCTATGTTTTTATTTCGAGAAAAAGTATATTTCGTTTCTCATTCTCAATCCCTTAAGAAGGAATACTAAAATCCGCATTTTGAATAAGCATGAATATTTATTAGGCAATTTTACACGATACCCTAATTCCTCTCGATTTGTAATTAAGCCAACACACAAATTAATTGGTTTTCATCAGGCTAGTTATATGTCACGCCCCATCCCGGTCTCTCAAGAATGAGACGTGACTAGATTTTTGATACACTTATTTACATTTATAATCTAGATTAATAAAACACTAAATAATCTCACACGTGCAACAACATTACCCATCACGTTAGTCATTAAGTATGATGGTAATACCTGACTCATAGTATGTATCATATATAACACATGTACTATTTGTTTTTTTTTATTTTTCCAAGCCATATACATATACAAAATCCCACACCCACATAGCATACATCACAAAGTATGTTTGTTGAGTCTGTTTACAATTATACACTATTAATTTGCTATAATAATCTCTCACTCAACATAATATACAACCCAACAAATAATTATACAGACACTCAACTTGTATTACTCAACTCATTAAAACTAAACACATGATTAACAGACATACGACATGAGTAATATCGCACTAGCTTCGTTGGATCACTCTGGATTGAACTCAACTTCACAGGACAGTACTCAACCGACTGGACAGTGGACTGATCTGCAACTTCCTCTATAATACCTGAAAAGGAGAAACTATAGGGTGGTGAGTTAAACCACGCGCTCAATGAGTATACATGTTGTATATGAAATGAAAATGATAGTAATACACAGAAGTAAGTAAATATTACGTAAATACACAAATCAAGCAACAACATCAATTCAATTCCAAAGAATTCACAAGCCACAACACATCTATACTATCCCTCATTGGGTAGTCGATCCCACATGAATTCGTGTCTCCCGAACCTCTCAGGAACAGCACAG